CTGTGGCTTCTAGTTGGTGAATGGGAATGTTTGCTTGTAGTGCAACCGGGGAGTATTGGTGGTAACACTTGTGTTTGTGCCACCATCGTAAAGAGAGTTCTGCTTGCGCGATTTTGTGTTGTTGAAGTTGTTTAAATTTGCGGTTGCGTGTGCTTTTTTCGTGTCATGGTGTGGTTGGTGCTTCCAATGTAAATGTAACGTTGATGAGGTTGCTTTGTGGAAATGCGACAGTAGACAACCTGTGGTTGCCTGAAGAAAGAAAGTGTGTAGGACTGGTACGAAATGCCCGAGTGTAAAAAAAGTCGCTGAAGATTGGTAAAATGTCCAGCCTCATGCTTGAGGTGGAAGTACTGTACGCGTAGCAGTAAGGCTAAACCCTGAAGCCACAAGATGTACCTCGTGACGAGGAACGAGTTACGACTATGTGTGCTAGCTAACCTATTTCCACTCGAAGCTATTGAAGGTAGCTTCGCTAGAAACGAAGTTTCGTTCGCTATCGTCGCTCGCAGGAGAGTTGCCTCTGACATGCGAAGACAGGATAGCTGTGACTTGGAATGGCTACGAATGTGTGTGACCGTTGCCATTCTGGATAAAGTCCCCCATCAGGGGGGTAATTTTGAAGTAGAGGGGAGAGAAGGGGAACTTGGCTAACTAGCCAAGCGAGAATGGCGGCCTCTCCTCGCACCCCCTCTGCTTCGCGAACGGAGAGTCCCAGGTCACCGGCTACGACGGTGATTCCGGCTAGTCCTGGGGGAGAGCAGCTGGAGAGTCCGTCCATCCTGCCGACGGTTTTACCGAGCGAGCAGGATGCGGGACCGAGTTCTCCGCCCGGCGGGATAGGGAGTCCCATTGCCCTCCCCGTCCTTGAGGGATAGCGCCTTGGTACAGAAGCGTGCGGTGCTGGATAGGTGCCACGAGCACCTTTGAGGACGTGGAAGAGGTGGGGCACCAGGTAGCTGAGGAACTCGGCGTCGGCTACGACGAGTACATCGGGGACTCGATCTATCTCTGGATACAGGAAGCCCGTGAAGCTAGAGACCTTGTGGAGAGGACCTCTGGCTACAGGGCTACCTCGTTGGCTTGGATGAACCTTAGCAAGCGGCCGGCGATTGAAGGGATAGACCTTCAAGAGGATAGCGGGCCAGAACCTCCGAAGGGGGATAGGCAGAAACGCTTGGTCAACGAGGGCTCCCTGGCACAGGCGAGAGAAGAACGGTTACAGGCTACTTGGGCTACCAGACTGAAGGAGGAGCTAGAGCTTTGCAAGGCGCCTGTCCTGAAGAAACTTCAGGGCAGTCTGGACCCGGAAGAGCCACACTGGCGCGAGCTGGGAAGACGCGGGCGAGTACCCTCAAGCGCTACGTCTCCCCATCTACGCCCGCTGCCTATGGCTAGAGCAGGCGAAAGATGGGCGACCACCAGGGCTACCCGCAGACCTCGCAGACTATATCATCGCTAGGAACGGTTAGCTGGATAGAGCGAGTGGCGGAGTGGTCGGTCGAGGCTAGAGCAACCTCTGGTCGGATAGCATGGGCGATCAATGACACGGTGGTCGAGAAGCTATCGTGGAAGGCGCCTTGGACCAGGAGAGCACCCAGGTACCCCGGCGGCCATCCTAATTAAAAAAAGCGGCTAGTATCAGATGCTAGCGTCGCTGTGGGGTGGCGCGTTTGGGCCTGGGCTAAGCTCTTGAAGGTGTGGGGCAGCCTTCGTTGGTCCGACCTCCAGGCTATGATCCTCAACGAGCTAACCATGGTGGAAGGCAGGCTATCGACGATCTTGAGGCGAGCCAAGAGGACTGGGGCTAACAGACGCATTCGGGAGCTACCTGTTTGCATCTCGGAGAGGGCGTACTTCGAGGACCCTGGTTGGCTACTCGCCGGCTTCAACCTGCTAAAGAACCACGCTGGCTACCCCCGGGACCACCTCATGCCGAGGCTAGCGGAGAAGGGGACCCTGGAGAAGAAGATGGCTACCTATGCGGATGCCATGGTGGCGACAGCGCCTGCAGACCTGTCCTTTGTTGGATTTTGCGCTTTGTGTCTTTTGAAATTTGTACTTTGGGGTGCGCAATGTTGCATTTTGTCCTTTCGGGTCTTGTGTGTGTTGCCGGCACGTAGCTCCTCCGTTGCCGGCAGTTAGCTCGGCGGTTAAGAGGCCTTGACAGACGTATTCCGCCAGGAAGTTAAAGCAAAAATCTTGAGCATCATGAACATCAGGCGCGCAAAAGCACCCGAACACTCAGCGAGCATCCGGAAAAAGTTGACAGCATGAGCATCCGGACCTTAAGAGTCGGTAGCAAGCATCAGGAGAATCAGAAAAGCGGACTCGAGCCAACAGAAAGCGTAGGATAGTAGTGTAGTAGCAAAATATGTCTATATATATATATGTAATACATATATATATATATATATATAGAGTATACATGACCACGCTTTCGATTGAAAAGTTTAGGCCTCGAGGCTGAGGATTCTTTATGACTGTTCCCTAGAACTATATAGAGCGGCTGGTCTCCACATATATACATCCTAAACCCTAGCTGAGGCTTTAAAAGGCCCCAAACTCTGAAACCTTCGCGTTCAGGGTTTTCGGGCTTGAGGGCTTGAGGGTTTTGGGTTCAAGGCTGCACGACGGTTCCTTAATATGGGGGTTTGCTTCGCGTTCAGGGTTTTCGGGCTTGAAGGCTTGAGGGTTTTGGGTTCAAGGCTGCACGACGGTTCCTTAATATGGGGGTTTGAGTGTTTTGGGCTGAGGGTTTCAGTGTGAAGACTGCTCCCTGAAAGGGGTTGCACCGACCTAAACTCTGAAACCCTCGCATTCAGGGTTTTCGGGCTTGAGCGCTTGAGGGTTTTGGGTTCAAGGCTTCACGACGGCTCCCTAGTAATATGGGGCTTGAGTGTTTTGGGCTGATTCAGTTTGAAGACCGCTCCCTGAAGCCACGTGGTGTTTGTGTTTTGCCGAATTCCGAACGCCCTGGACCAAATCCAAGCCTGATCAAGGCCTTTAAGATTTGGGTCGTGCTTGATTCGGCTGAGGGTTAATTTGGGCTATCGCGGCTCTCGAAGGCTTCAACAGGATGGTACAATCTCTCGATTTGTGCGAAGTCTGCTTTCCGCAGGGGGCTTCATGCATGTACCGCTCCAGATCGAAATTTTCTCGCTGCTGCACATCTTCGCATTCAGTTGCAACAGCCAGCGCTGTAGCAAGCGCTTCGACAGCGTCGAGCAATGCACTGCGCCTTTAGCGACCTTGCACAATTGCCCTACCCAGTCTTCTTCTGTAAAACAACTGCAGATTTTGGCATTCAAGCGAGAGCCAGCTTCGATACGGAGCACGATCTGGCAGTGGAAAGCGTGAAGCTTCGGCCTCACTTTATACCTTGGATCGATTATGCGAGGGTGATACTGTTAAAACCTGTTATATAGGGTTTCGGGTTGTTAAGGCTTTATCCAGAAATCGCTCCGGAACCCTTACTTTACACAAGTCGTCGATCAATAAGATGGCGCAAGTTGCAGCGCACGATTGGCAGCGAGAGCTTGCTGGGCCAGCTTGATGTAGCACTGGACATACAGTCTACCGGTCCTCGGATGGAGATATATCATTTAGGGATTTTATAAGGGTAGGGTTTATAGGGTTTGTAAAGCCTTTATAGGGTGGGTTACGGCGTTGACAGTCTTGTGCAGCACATCACAATCGCACATGCCGAAATCTATTGATCGTGCTCATGAGAATTCGTGCCGCGAAACCGCACACGTTAAATGCTTAGTGCATTCGCTTTAAATTCGTCGACGATCATGATGCGAAAAGCGGCTGTGCAGCACAATACAAAACCGCATGCCGAAATCCTTACAATGCCTAGCCTATCGCATGGCTTTGTATAAGACTGCTCATACATGATGCGCACATCGCAGAATGCATGCGTGCGATATAGGATCGGGAAACACAGTTTCGATCATTATGGCCGTGTCGCGTCCAACAAGCCTGGTCGTCAACAGGTCTTTGCTTTCTTTGACAGATTGCAGCGCCGCGACAAGCATGAGAGACTCGGCAACGTTATCAGTACACTGCGATATTTGTTCGGCCATCGAAGCAGCTCAAACAAATTAGTCTCATATATTGCTTACACAATAAAATACGGATCTATCTTCAAGCTCGGGTACAAATGACGAACGAGCATACATGAGCGAAAAAAAATGGGATACGTGGGGTATGATAATACTGCATCGATCAGGCTGATCGATGTCTGCTTCTCAGAAACTATAGCTTTTGCTTTTCCTATTCTACGGCTAACGGTTTGTCTCATAGCCTTCCACCATGATTTCCCCAGTACTGCTGACGCAGAACAAGTTTAAGTCTTAAGTCATATATGTCCTTACTGTAATATTAACCCGACACTGCCACATTCGAAGCGCCGTGTGCTCTAGTCCCGCTCCCCCATCCCGCCCCTATACAGCTCGACAATGCCACCCTAGGCGCTTGGCTACTATCTATTTGGTGGTTCAAAACTTCTGGCAACCAGAGGGTCTTATGAAATTTGAGACTATTTCACCCCGACTTTGGATTGAACCTACCCACAAATTGCAGCCCGGATTCTGAACGAGCAGTTTTGCTTGTTCGTCCGTTAGCCAAACGCCAGCTTCGTCACAGACTGCTCCAAACGTGTGAAGTGCCCACACGCAAACGCCTTGCAGTTGCAGCGTCTTGCTGTCCTGGGCTGTTTATTCAGAACGTACATACCGAACCAGCAGCTTGTTAACTTTTCCAAAACATTCGAGCTCAAAGCCGTTGCACATGAAGTCTAGTTGCTCGCAGTCGCTCTGCGAAGTAAGCAGTCCTAGGCTTGCATGCTGCTTTTTGCACACGTTACACTCTTGTCGCAAAGGCATTGACTAGAAGCGGCCAAGCCACATCACTTTGTTCGTGTAGCCTTTGCTAGGCCCCAGAGGAAAATCGAGGCTGAGGGTATCCACCGATAATCGTGTAAGACCTTATGGTGGAATTCAAATTTTTTTCTGTTGCATACGACACCAAATCCAAAAGTGCTCCCCAGTGAAAGCCAAGGCACTCAACTCCTCGATTGTTGATGGCCGAATGTTGTTGTCAGAGCACCATAATTGCATGTCTCGCCGGAGTCCCCGCAAACGCTCGTCGTAGGTGCTACCACTGTATAGGCCGGATTTTTCGACGACCTCAAGGCACAGACTGCCTATCAAGTCCCGGCCCGTTCCTGTCCAGAGCGTGTGAAGCAAATCTGGAACTTCCATTTCCGGCTGCCAGCCAGGCACCGTCTTAAGCGGAATGTCGCCCACAGCGGTCAAGCGTGCTGTTTGCAAGTCGGCCGGTGCATTAAAACGCTCCTCCGCGTCTAGCCACGTGTCGCGAGTGCATAGGCATCTCGGACACACGCCATCTGTTGTGCTCTGCACCTTCATGTAGTGCCGTGATTGCAATAACCATTCCACTCTCCATTTCCAATCGCCTTTCCCCCCAATGATGTGGAGAGTATGGCCCAAACCGTTGTCAGGCGATGCGCATTGCCGGAGCGAGCATGCTAAATCGCTTTGGAACTGTTGAAGCGAAACATTTACCCCAGCGGTGTCGTAGGCGAAAAAGTCCGATTGGATAATCTGGCATTTGGATATATTCATACCCCAAACTGCAAAACCCAAAGAGAAACTCAACCGAATTTATTAATTCGGCCAGGTTGCAAGGTACGGGTATTTCGTGTACATCGTTTCGCCAGTTACAGCCAGAGGACTCCAACTCAAAATGAGCATGTTCTTCTTCCTCTTCGACTGCCCCTCATCCCCATGTATCGTGATGCCGTATGCGGTCGCTCTGCTGCTTTCGTCCCAGGACTGTACCGGGTGGGACCTGCGTGCTAGAAAGGTTTGAGAAACCCTATGTAAAGTTAAACCGAGTTTCAGGTTCAGGCTCTATACGGCTAGCGCTTCTCAAAAAGCCCAAGCCTCCCCCAGTCCTCATTCTTGGCCTGGGACCAAAACTCCAGCCAATTCATGTCTCCGGACCTCAGCTGCTGTCTAACGGATATATAGGGGTAAGGCTTAGATATAAACAGTTACTTAAGGATAGGGTGATATATGAGTTTGCAGGTCACACATAGGTATAGGGTTGAACTTTAAGCTTTTAAGGTGTAGGTTCCGGGGTTTGGGATGAGTCTAGAGGGCACACCCAGTACATATCATACAGACATGGCACAGCTCGCTCACCATTCCAGCCGAAACCAGGGCTTTGAAAATATCAAACGGCCGGTAAACTGGCCATTTCTCAAAATACTGAGGCACAGGTGCTGCATTCTTGCTTTTTTTCCGAGGCCTCGCTTTCGATTTGGCCCTCGATTTAGCTTTTGCCTTGGGAACCAAAGCCGCTGTTGCTTTGCGCAAGATCTGTCGTCTCTTATTGTAGCTCAGCTTGCGGTTGCATTCACGTCGCCTTGCCAACCGCAAATCCTTCACCAGCACAGACACCAGCGAAACATTGATTTTCAGCGGCGCCTTAGATAACACGTTCGAAGTGAAACTACTCTAAATTTTTAACCCGGAAGCACAGCTAGTGATATTTCGAAAAGGCACATCGCTCGAAGAGCGGCTGGCCGCTCTGTGCAGAGTCTCCTCCACGTGATCCTGCCGCCTGCCTCCAGCTCCCATTTTGGAAGCCCACAAGGTACCTGAGCGTGTCGTTCTCATCTCTGTGCATTCCCCCGCTCTCCCAACCCCAGTCTCCCGCTCGCTCTCACTCACACTCGCTTTGCACCTTTCACACACACTCTCTCTTAAGTAATTAAGTGTTGTTCAAAAGAAACAATCAAGAACATCATCAATATAGTGCGCACGAGGGGCTCCTGGAGATGTTTCGAGGCCCCGATTCAGACACGGCAGCTTCAGCCACTTTTTGCATCATAGCTGCAGCACCCCCTCTCCCCACATTCCAGGCCAACTGCCGGGTAAGCGGAGATGCTTTCAAGGAAAAATCTGCATTTGAGGAGCTCGGCTCTTCATCAGTCAAACACTTTCTCTGTTGCGCCAGCTTTTGCGCACGTTTCAGCATTGCTTCCACACATGCTCAGAAACTACATGGAACGTTATTATACTGATGTCTACAGGCAAATCTTTTGCGTATGCCAGGCAATGCTTCTACATGAGAGAATTTAAGAGAATAGTACGTTGAGGGTATGGGTATACGGCTTAACGAATCTCGGTCACTAGAGGTTTTCAGGCTGTGGGGTACGGCTTAACAGGAAAAGTTCAAGGGCCTCGGGTATTCATGACCGCATCTACAAGCAGAGCCTGATTTGTGTTGGTGACAGAACATATGTAGGCTCATGCACACATATCGGAACGTCTGTGTGTTCGAAACAGTCGCTCGGCACCTAGATTGAATGTGTTTTCGAGCGAGATTCTCTCGGCCGTCGCCCCGCTGACACAGTCATGTTCAGCACGACTGTGCAGGCTCCCTAACCCCGGCTCAGCTCCCTATGTTAGTGACAAGATGCTACCTTCTAGATGAGGTTCTATTATAGGGTTTAGATAAGCATAAGGCATAGGGTTTGTACGGTTTGGGGTTAAATTGCGCTCGCGTCGGTTGTCAAAGCCACAACAGTATTGTTGATCTTGTCACGAACCTGGAGAGAGGCTGGAACTAAGCTTGGCGTCGCAAGCGGTCATCTTCTTAAAAGCACATCGGATGTAGCCGTGATCCCAGCTGATCTGAACTCAATCCGAAGTCGAATACCGGCGGCCATATGTATGCATCTAGCAGTAGTAGTATAGTACATAGTAGTACTCTATAGTAGTAGTGGTAGTAGTAGTAGTAGTAGGAGCCGGTTGAAAGGACACTCAGCACGTTGAGGTGTGTGTTCGATTAAAGGTGATCAGATCGAGTGCTGTTTTGTGTCCTTCCTTCCAGGCTTGTAGTAGTAGTAGTAGTAGTAGTAGTAGTAGTAGTAGTAGTAGTAGTAGTAGCAGTAGCAGTAGCAGTAGCAGTAGCAGTAGCAGTAGTATAGTAGCAGTAGTAGCAGCAGCAGTAGCAGTAGTAGTAGTAGTAGCAGTAGTGTAGTAGTAGTAGTAGTAGTAGTAGTAGTAGTAGTAGTAGTAGTAGTAGTAGCAGTAGCAGTAGCAGTAGCAGTAGCAGTAGCAGTAGTATAGTAGCAGTAGTAGCAGCAGCAGTAGCAGTAGTAGTAGTAGTAGTAGTAGCAGTAGCAGTAGCAGTAGCAGTAGTAGTAGTAGTAGTAGCAGTAGTAGTAGTAGTAGTAGTAGTCGCAGTCGCAGTCGCAGTCGCAGTAGCAATAGCAGTAGCAGTAGCAGTGGCAGCAGCAGTAGCAGTAGTATAGTAGTAGTAGTAGTAATAATAGTAGTAGTAGTAGCAGTTGTGTAGTAGGGCTTTATAAGAGGCTTTTTCAGGCAGGGGGTTTTGGCTTTCGGGTCGTAAAACGTCGGTTGTCAAAGCCACATCGGCTGTGATCCTGTCAGAAGCCTGGAGCAGAGGCTCGAACTCGGCTTGACATTGCAAGCATGTGTCAAAACACATCGGATGTTGTCATGTCTCAGCTGATGATTCGAGTGCCGAAGTAGGAGTACGACTGGATAGCAGGTTGTACAACACATGGGTTTAATTAGGATGTTGGGGCAGTAGCTAGGTATATAGTGGTCGGGAGGAAATCCCCAAACACAAGAAGAAGAGGTGGTGACGATGGCGGTGCTGGCGGTGGTTCATGGTGGTGTACGAAACCAACTAACTAATTGTGTAGCTAGCAAGGCAAGAGACACATGGAGCTACCATGAGCTACCTACATTTCTGATCATGGCCGGCTGGCGGTAGTACTGTGTTGGACTTTAGCTACCTATCTAGGCCTTAGGGTTCAAATCGAGGGTTAAGGCATATAATTCAAAAACCCAGCTGATCATGCCACCGACGTCTCCTTCGCCTGCGGAGCCGCTTTCGACTTCGCCTTTTTCTTCGGCTGCGTCAGGCGTACTTCAGAAGTGATCCTGGGATGCGAGTGGTTCAGATATACTAGGGGTAGCTGTGGTTTTGGGTGGTCTGGCGAGATTACGGCTTGGGATTTATGATGTTGTTTTTCAGGGTCGTTGACATACTTGGTTTTGAGAGGATCTGCTTCAGAGAGCACATTAATGTATGGGCAAGATTCAGGCTCGAGGCCACCCGCTGGTGCTTCTTAAAAGCCTCCACAAAGGGCGCCGCCTCAGTTTGAGATTCCGACAAGATGGCCAGAGGGTTTAGGGTTTAGGGCTGCAGGGTTTTAGGGTTTCAGGGTCTATATAAGGTTTGCAGGTTTGGGGTTTCCTTCAACAAAGGGTTTCTGGCTTCAGATTGTACAGATTTGGGGTCTCGCCACAACTCAGCTACAGATCGGGTTGGCAAGCCAACGTGCTAGCATTTGTGGGTTAAAGGCTTCCGTAAACAAGTAGTTGATACTTTAGGACTTGAGGGCTTGGGTTTTATTTAGGCTTCAGGATATAACGCTTTAAACCGCAATGCAGCCCCAGTCAGGTTGGCAAGCCAACATAATCATGTAGGCAGGAAGCCCGAGCAAGGACTGCGTGAACACGTTCGATAGGCGGTTGCTTGCCCAGACTCCGGAGTGCTTTTCGCGCTTCTGTCATTCCCGCAATAGCGTCTGTGGTCAACTCGATCAAAGCCCCTTGGGACTCCAAGGCCTCAAGCCTCGGATGATGAAGATGATGCTCTTTATTAAGGGTTCATATGTGGCAGTCTTTTCAGTCTAGTCACTCACTCTTGAGTGTCGTCGCTTTCCCCTCTGCAGACGTGCAAGCCTGCAGCCAGTTCCCGATGAACCCGTCCACATCATTGGCGTCCATCACCAGAACTTCGAGCTCAGCCCCCTGAATCAGGAAGTATGTCGCGATTGAAATAAGGAAACGAACATACCTCACAACAAAACCCGGAATGTCGGCCTGGGGTTTGGGAGCTTTGGCTTTCTTCTTGGGGGGAGGTGGCGGATCCTTCGGCTCTGCGGCAGCCGGTTCGGGCAGCCCCGTTCTCGGTGGAGGCGGCCCCGCTGGAGCTGCTTGGTTAACGGGGTTGCCCTTCTCAAAGCTTTCCATCAAGGAAGCCGCGAATTTCGGGTCGCAGCCAAGCGACACCGAAATCTCGTCCTGAAATTCTGGTTTGCCGACTACAGATCTCGACGTAAGCTACAGGTTTGGGGTAGTATAGGGCACGACTACTTGGAGGGTCGGGGGACTTAGTAAGTAGTTATTTTATAGAGTTATAAGTACCATAACCCCAATTAGGGTCCCTATTAAGGTACCTATAAGTCCATATAATAACTACTTGCTAAGTCCCCCGACCCTCCAAGTAGGGACAAGGGTTCGAGGTTCAGGGCTAATATTGAGCAGCCTGGGCACCAAGGAGCGGGTTGTCCACTCTCGGGATTCCCTTGCATAATACAGATATGTTTCGACGGTCGGGTCGTTTCTGTCCACGGAGGTACTGAGCTTCAGCAAGCGGTTGTTTTAATGCATTGATATGAACTCATCGCTCGTGATCTTGTTTCAGTCTAGGCACCCTTTGCTTTGACCACGGCGCATTTGCACGAAGCTGTTGGCCTTCTGCAAGTCGCCGTTGTGGAACGCCAAGATGTCGGTCCAGTTGTAATATTCTCCTGGAGTGTGATTTAGGATTTGGGTTGGCGAGTTCAGGGATATTATATAAGGTTTAGAAACAGTCGGTTAGGGTTGATGTAGGGCGCTAAGGTTTATTTAGGGTGTATATAGGGACTCTGGGTTTAGGGTGGTTTCAGATTGACATTCGCACGGTGTTCTAGGGAGTTAAATCTATTTCGAGCCTTGGGTGTGAAGTGATCTTGGAGGTGAAACAGTTTAAGGTGTCATGGGGTTCGGGTTCACTTCTTCATTTAGGTTGGATTAGTTCGGGCTCGACGTTCAGATGTGAATGATTGTCGTTTTGAGGATAGTAGGGTTTAGGGTGGCTTAATTAGTAAGGTTTGTGTGACACCCTGTCCTTGGTCTCGCTGCTTCTCTTCTTGCTGTCTAGAGAACCGTAGCACGGCTTCCAGTGCCATCCCATTGCCTGAATAGTGCAAGCTTTGCTAGTTTCAGCTAGCAGAAGCCACCCAAATCAATAAAATCCAAGGAGCATCCAGCCTGCACGAACTTTGCAAAGGCCGCTGTCTTGAAGGCTCCTCCCTTCCTCGCTGTGGAAAAGAATGAACCAATTTAGTATGTCGTAACCCAGATCGCAACAAGAGGAATAGCTTGGAGACTCTCTACGTTTGTAAGTAATTACTGAGTGTGTGGCTCAAAAGCGGTTCGAAGCTCACGAGCGTGCTCATTCCGCTCGCAGAATCGTGTATACACCTTCCACTCGGCAGGGTGGGTCGCACTGTTGATTTTGCCAGACGACACAGGGGCCACAGCTGCATCAGAACCTGCTGGGGCTGGATCGGAATGTGCCGGGGATGCTGCAACTGGAAGAGCGGGGGTCGGCCCTGGCGTGCTGTTCTGTGGTGCGCCTGCTGCTGCCGCGGGCGCTGGTGGCGGAGGCTGTGGTGTCGTTGGCCCTGCGACACTTGCTGATGCAGGGGTCGAAGGTGCGGCAGTCTGCTTTTGCATATCTGCGATCAGCTTGGCGATTGCTTCAATCGCACCCGGATCGGTTTGGAGGTTCTTGACAAGGTCCTGCAAGCCGACCGCTGCAGGGGCTGCGTTCGGATCCGACGTAGTACCTTGGTTGTCCCGACCACGTGCATTGAAGGCCTGTGTTCCCCATACCCCGGACGAGTGGCCAGCAGGGGACGCTTGCGGATCTTGATTCGTACCTTAATCTTGTTGCAGTGACTGAAAGGTGCCTCCAGCTTGGGTGTTGGTCAAACGGGCCAAGCTGCCAAAAAAGGTTGTGCTCGGAGTCGGAGTTGCAGGAATGATCACAGCGGCGGTGCCTGGGATGTGTATGTGGTGTGCTTCGGGCGACTAAGCGTCATGCCAAGTTGCCGTCAGCGGGTGGGGTCACAGTCGGTGTTGGCACTGTGCCTACAGTGCGAGGGCACGACTATAATATGATCCTGCTTTCGTAGTCTACGAATTGCTGTCGAACTGCCAGCAACAGAGCTCGGAGTTGCCGGTGCAGCTGTGTCACTGGCGGGCAAAGACCTGAGGAACAACGACAACAGCAACAATCTACTCATTCACGATATGCGTAATGATAATGCAGGTTAGCTACTCGAAGGATGCAGATCGAAGCCGATTCCAGAAAGTCTTGTACTTGGCCTTTTCCTCGTTGCTCAGCTCGGGCAACTCAAAGTCGTCCTAGCAAGCTGCACGATTACCACAACCGAATCCTAAAGGTATTGAACTGCATATATATGTGCTTTATGGTAGTGAACCCGATAGATTATGGTTTCGTTTTCGGGTTTTATAAGACTTCGAATTAAAAGCGTTTAAACGGTTTTAATTCGAAGTCTTATAAAACCCGAAAACGAAACCATAATCTAGGCCAGTTTAGCGGAAGCCAAAGTGACACATTTCGGGGTTTATAAGGATCAGGGTTTTAGGGTTTTATAGGAGATTTGTTTACGTTTAGGTATAATGAAAACACAATCCTTGGCGGCCTTGGCGGGCCCAGCTTTGCCGCGCCCAGGCTTGGGTACAGCTTTCGTCGGAGTGTTGAGGACACCGGGGTGCTTCGCTGCCAGGGCTGCCGAGGCGTCCGGGGACACGAGGGTCTGTTCAGGGATTCGAGGGTCGGGGGCTAAGTGGCAAATACGTTGCAGGGATGGAAAGTATTCTGAATCTATTCTTTAGGCAGCAAGCACCTGAGTCACACGGGCTGGCAGACTATAGTCCTCGAAAGAAGCAGCAGTCGCTAGAGTTGACAAAGTACGCACGGGAGGAGCAGTGACACTCGGGTGTTCTGGTGTGACCCCTGTTGACTGTGCCTTCGTGACTGCTGTCGGTGGCTGGGCTTTCTTTGCTTGCTCGTGCGCTGCTCGCTCGGCTTCAGCTTGTGCCTGCTCCACAACCACAGTTTGCTCGGCTCTGGCCTTGCTAGCAGACTCTGCTTTCTTGGACGCTTCCAAGAATTGTTGCCTGGCTAACTCTGCCTGCTCAGCGAGCTTTTGCGCGTTCAAACGAAGCACGTCGGCGCTGAGTGCTGCCTGCCTTGCGTCCGAAGTGAGCTTCCGTCCGTACTCCTCCTCCTTCTGTAGCAAAGCTGAAGTGTCCTCACGTTCGCCCTGGTTTTGCTTAGCCTCTACGAGCACTCGCTCTGCTTTCTGAAGCAACACTGCTGTGGCCGGTTCCGTTTTCTTTGCTTGCTCCGCCAGTGCTTGTGCTGCTCGCTCGGCTTCGGCTTTCTTTGCTTGCTCTGCCAGTGCTTGCGCTGCTCGCTCGGCTTCGGCTTTCTTTGCTTGCTCCGCCAGTGCTTGCGCTGCTCGCTCGGCTTCGGCTTTCTTTGCTTGCTCCGCCAGTGCTTGCGCTGTTCGCTCGGCTTCGGCTTTCTTAAACTCCGCAAGTGCCTGTGCTGCTCGCTCGGCTTCGGCTTTCTTTGCTTGCTCCGCCAGTGCTTGCGCTGCTCGCTGGGCTTCTGCTTTCTTTGCTTGCTCCGCCAGTGCCTGTGCTGCTCGCTCGGCTTCCGCTTTCTGAGCTTGCTCCGCCAGTGCCTGCGCTTCTCCCTCGGCTGCGGCTTTCCTTTGCAGCTCTGCCTCGTGTGCTGCTCGCTCGGCTTTGGCTTGCTTCGTAGCTAAAGCTTGTTTTCGCTTCGTCAAAAGTTCTTGGTACCGGGCAGCTGCTGCCTCGGCTGCCTGTTGCTGCAGCTTTAGCTCTTCTTGTTCTTCTGCGTCTATCTGATCATCCACGCTTTGCTCGAGGAGTGTTTCAATCTCATCCGCAGGGCTGCTTTCCGCAAGTGAGTTGGAAGTAGAGAGCCTTTCCAGGCTCAAGGTTTGGCCCAGTACCAGAGTCTCTGCACTGTCAAGCTTGTTGATCTGGGTGTCAACATACATCCACGGCTGGGTTTCCTGATGTGTGACATCCTTCACGTGAGCTGCGGCGGTGTTGGGCTTTGGGGGGCTCAGCTCGACTGTGTCCAACTGCAGCATCCTCTTCGGGGCGTCGGGTCGAGGAGGATTGCTGTCGGGTGGCGTTTCCATGGGCGTAGGGGCTCTCACCGTTGGCTCAGGCGTTTGTGGTGGCTGCGCTGGCGGTGCTGCTTTGGCTGCCGGGGCCATCAAAGCATTCCTGGGCGAAGCTCGATGGCATCACAATCGGGATAATCGTTATGTAGGGTCCTATAATTACCGTGCGAATTATTTGTAGCTTCAAAGAATGTAGTAAAGCGGTTTTATGGTTCGTATTTCGGTTTGGGCTTGTGCTGGAGGATATATTGGCATCACATCGGAACGAGATTTCCTATGAATCTTTCCACATCCAAAGAGTACCAGCACTTAAGAACGACGGGCTTAAGGGTTGCTGTTGGTCTTTGGCGAGATGATCCGATCGAAGTCTCACACACAAACCCACATTCCACAAACTTGTAAAGGCAGCAGCAGCACGTAGCAGCAGCAGTAGTCAATATACTCGTATATAGTATAGTACTGCTCAACACTACATAGACCCTATACTGCCACAAAGATTCACTCGATCCTTCACCATCTGCTGCTGAGCAGGGGTTAGGCCGAGTGCATCTAGGGACACGTGTGCATCCACAGATGCCGCCAGCTCAACCTGGTTCCGATTTGGGCTTAACCTTACATACATACATACACATACATGCAGATGTACTAGATGTCTATGTATATATCTATATACACATACCAACAAAGAACCAAAGTAGAAAGCTTGGATAAATGGCTAGAAACTGGGTCGTTCGAAGCACCAGCCTTCGGTACCGGCTTCTTTCCCATGGCTATAAGGGCTGTCGCCTACCTGATCTCAGTCTAAATCGACCTGGAGCATCAGTTGCCGGGCAGGAATTCATAGGATTACTCACAGAACCGGGCCGGTATTTGAAATTTGCGCTTTTTGACGCTTTTTGACGCTTTTTGACGCTTTTTGACGCTTTTTCCCGCGGCAATAGATCAGGGTTCCGGGGGGGGATGTGTCCAGAATCCTAGCAGCATTTGAAATTTGCGCTTTTTGACGCTTTTTGACGCTTTTTGACGCTTTTTGACGCTTTTTCCCGCGGGTATAGGTAAGGGTGTCGCGAAGGGAATTATAGGAGCCATGCAGTCTTTCTATCGATATCGATCGGTAGTTCTTCGCTAGTTCTGGGATTCTGCAATTCGGATTGTGCTATTTAGCATTATATGTTGTGGGTTCGTGTTCTACTATAGTACCTCAAGCTTATACAACGTACCTCAAGCTTCGAGGTACTTGTATAAGTTCTTGTTGTAGACGTGCTAGGTTTGCGTTGGGAAGTAAAATGTGTTTAGCAACATATATACTTAGAAATCGGGAAGTTTATTCGGAAATAATTGTACTGGCAGCACAGTAAAAAATTGAAATTTGTACTTTCGGGAACTGGCAATATCGATAATATGGGGAGTTGGTGCTAGCAACAATGAAATTTGTACTTTGGGAATTTGTACTGGCAACACAGCACGATTGAAATTTGTACTTTGGGTGATGGGCAGTTTGTAATAGCAACAATGGAATTTGTATTTTGGGTTTGAGAATTTGTACTGGCAACACAACGAAAATTGAAATTTGTACTTTGTGTGATATATGGGCAGTTTGTACTAGCAACAATGGAATTTGTACGGGGTTTGCATGAGAATTTGTACTGGCGCACAGAAGGAAATATTGAAATTGGTATTTTGTGTGATGGGGGGGGGGGTGTTCTAGCAACAATGAAATTTGTACTTTGTGTGATATGGGCAGTTTGTACTAGCAACAATGGAATTTGTACTTTGGGTTTGAGAATTTGTACTGGCAACACAACGAAATTTGAAATTTGTACTTTGTGTGATATGGGCAGTTTGTACTAGCAACAATGGAATTTGTACTTTGGGTTTGAGAATTTGTATTGGCAACACAATGAAATTTGAAATTTGTACTTTGGGTGATATGGGGAGTTTGTACTAGCAACAATATGGAATTTGTAC